AAACAAACGTTGATTTTCTTGAAAAACGAACTGAATTATTTGTTTATTTGCATCATTAATGTATTTCAAATATTGCATAAAAAGATTTGAGGTTAAATAAAAAATCTACAGAATGTGTCAGAATAATTGATTATTAAAATAATTATTTGTTGCAGCCCTGAACTAATAATATGGAACTAATATCTGTTTGATTCGCCATATTTCTGAATAATGTGACAAATAGAGTGTAACGCAGGAGGACCGTATTCATGTATTAACTATTTTATGGTATAGATTTTTACATTTTATGTCAATGTGAGGTTCATCCAGATGTGGAGCATCTCTGGATCATTTACTGAACCCTGACCCGATAACGAGGTTCTGGATGAAACCAGAGACGGCTTGGCTCACATAAAAAACATTTTCCGTCCGGCTCTTCGTCCTCCTCCTCCTCCTCAGCTGCAGGTGAGCAGCAGCTGCTCAAACACTCTGCTGTCTTTGTTCTGCTGTTTGTGTCTCTGCAGCCTCATGTTGCTCCTGCAGTGAGTTCTCGGTGCGGCCAGCAGGGGGCGCACGGCAGCAGCGGCATCAGGGCGTGACAGGGAGGAAGAGGAGCAGCAGTGAAGGACACTCTGCTGCATCCAGAGGAGGCACGTCGGGGAAAGCTTCTGCTTCTGCTGGTTCTGATCAACAGTTCTCCAGATTTTCTCTCAACTTCTTCACTGCAGAACCAGAACATTGTTTAAAAATAAACAGAAAGTTTATTTGTAAAACGAGCAGAATTATAAATATTTATAAATGCATCAAATTAAACGCAAAAAACTCAATCAGAAATAATTTGCTGAAAGAAGTGAAGCTGAATTCATTTCTATCTTTTGTCTCTTCCACCTATCAGAGGAGGCCCCAGTCCAGGAGGGAAACTGTCGCCATAGCAACGCCCTCCAGCACCTCCTTTAGTCTCCCCACCGGTAAACGTTCCCAAACAGTTAGATGTGTCTCTCCTGCAAGCAAGAGAACAGATCAGCAACCTTCTTTCAGCCAGCTGACTGGCAGTGTGCAGCACTAGGTGTGGGAGGGGCAGCTTTCAATCAGCTGGAGAAAATCCTGGTAACTAAAACACTGAACCATAAGAAGGGTGTGATGGGTCGTTGGCACATTCTGCTAATTGTGAAGCTAGTTTTTCTTTAGCTTTAGCTAGCTAGCTAGCTAAAATTTCCAGTTAAATTCCTGTTTGCAAACAGTCAGTTGAATAACGTTTAACGTCTGGGTCGAAGTTTTGGTTACTGACTGTTCAGAATTCTTCATAGTTACATGTTTACATACATGCTATTATTTTGAAAAAACACCAGTTCTATCTCACAGGAAATGCAGAAAACATCTAATGATGTTTTTTCTGTACCCAGAATGCATTGCTGCAGTTCTACAAGAAGTTGATGTCCAACTGCTTTCTGACTGGTCAGTTAGCTAAAATCAGCAACAACAAAACTGAAACCATGAGTGAAAGAGATGATCCTGAAACGCAGACGGTCCAGGACCCTCATGATCCTGTTGAGGGTCATGAACTCTGTTGTCACAAATGTTGCGTTATTGAAACACGGTGGACTTTAGCTGTTTAAAATTTGTTTCTGACAACTACCTTGATGGTAGTGCTTTAGCATTAGCTTTTTAACATTAGCTTCTGCTAAGTAGCACGTTGGTATAGCGCATTAACTGCTGGTAAATACCTTGTTGGTAGCTATTTCACTTTAGCTTCCTCTAAATACTATGTTGGTTTAGGGCTTTAGCATTAGCATAGACAATGTTTATGATTAGTGCTTTAGGGTTGGCGCAGCTAGATTTTTACTTGGCAGTGTGAAACTGCCAATCGCTCCATGCTAGCTCACATCAGAGCCAGAGAGATTCGTCGTCTCCATGACAACACCCTAAGATGAACAAACCGGACCCGGATTAGTCCAACCGAACCAGGAAGTTCAGGCAAGAGCATGAAAAGCAGATGGAGAACAAAGACTGTGTTTCCAGTTGCTACAGCAACGGTGAGGACGGTGGTCAGAGCCACAGCAGAAGGTCAGAGGGTTTACATTAAGTTCATTTTTCAGCAGGAAGTCAGTACCTGCAGACAGGAAGTGGAACAATCTGGGTCAGAATCAGCCTGACGAGCCTTCAGCTGGACTTTTAGGGTGGAGACGGATGGACAGTCAGTCAGTGAATCAGTTAAGTGAATCAGTGATTCAGTTAGTGAATCAGTGATTCAGTCAGTCAGTCGGTTTGGTTCTGCTGCAGCGGTCCAGTAACCAGCGGCTCGCCCTCCAGGCTCTGATCATTCCCAGAACCGGATCATGAATTATGGAGAAGCTCTTGTGACTCCGTCTCTTTAAGGTTAGCGTCGCTCTCTCTCTGACCGCCTCTCTCTGCCTCTGACACACACTGTCTCCATGGCAACGCCCTTAAAGGGCCACACCACCCTGTGTCGTCCAGCCGGTGACTGCTGAGGCTCCATCAATCTGCAGCTGATCCATTTACATGCATCGAAATGCTGCGACATGATTGGCTGATTCGCCGGTTATCTAACAGTTTTTATGAGTTAAGGAAGGAGGGAGGGAGGAAAGAGAGAAGGAAGGAAGGAAGCATAGAAGGAAGGAAGGATTTTCCATATTATCATTTAAATCCCGTCAGGAAGGTTAGCGTTAATAAAAATATAGTCCAAGTATTTTCTCCTGTAGACGAGGATGTTTGTCAGAGGAATAAATGAAAGCGCAGCAGCTAATTTAGCGTCTCCAGAGTCTGTCAGCACTTTGTGTTGATGAGTTTCTCTGCAGCGGCGGATTCGCTCCAGAGACGCCGTCCTGTTCGCTTCCTGGCCTCATAAAGTCTGTCTCTGGGAGGAAGCGTCGGCTCGGCCTGGATCTGGGGAAACGAGTCTGTTCTGCCACGTCCCGGTTGTTTCTGGGCCGTTTCTGCGCTAACGGTCCAGACTGACTGCTGCTGCTGAAACCGTGGAGAGGTTTTCATTATGTAGAGTCACTTTGTGCTTCACAGAGACGAATGTTTACTTTAATATGACAAACTAAGCTAACCGAGCTAAACTGCTGAGTCAGGCCCATCGTCTCCACCCAGAAGAAAAGCAACATTATGGATGGATGTTCCTCTCACTAATGGACTCTGACTCTATTAGGACAGTCGGTAATATTCCCTATCTGAAGCATTAGGAGGGATTAGCGAACATTAGCCTCTCTGTATGAATCTGAACGCTTTATTTACTCTGCTGCGGTTCGTCTGTCTGAAGGTTTTCTGCTGGTTTGAAATGTGAAAATTCTTCGTTTTCATCGTTCAGTGAGAGATTTAGAAGATCTGACAAGTTTTCTGTTAAAACGGTGAAGCGTTTCTGGTTCTGGTGTGACTGATGGACATCATGAGGAGGATCTGTTGGTGTACAGGAATATTCTGGAAGGATGTGGAAAACTGTTCCCAACTAAAAATCTGAACATTATTTTCGCAGTTAAGGTTTGTAAGTGATGCAGAACTATATGGTTAACATTTTTAATTATTTATGGTAAATTTAATATTCACACCTCCAAACAATTTCAATTATAGGACTAGCTGTTAAAATTAAGCTTAAATGCTAAACAACTTTATTCAATTGAAAGATTTACAAAACAGCAAAGCTACAGTTTAATAAAGATTAGAGCTTAAAATTTATCTGGAAAATGTGTTTAGGGGAAGCTGAGTGTGCTAAATGTTTTCAAAGCTAGCTAAAGCACAGAATAAAAAATTAGCTCCACTATTAGCAACTGGATCAAGCAATGTGAAGATGGTACATAACTATAAGTCAATTAAATAACCTAAGTTGTGAATTTTAATTGTTTATGTTGAGAATTATAGAATAAACATTGAATCCTTACAAACTGCCTTGTTGTGTATTAGCTTGCTAGCCTGTTAGCTTCAAAAGCTAACACTGATGTTCTCAGAGGATTTTCCGTCAGCAAAATTATCAGAACAAATTTCAAACAATTTAACATTTCAGTACAAACCTAATATTTCAGATTTGTACTTAAAAAATTTTCAAAGTTTTGGGCCTCTGGTAAGGCACAGACCCACCAGTGGAAGTAGTGGCGCAACTGCACATTATTCAGGTGGATGCGAAAACATAAATCGGCTCCCCCTCCCCCCAGGAAGGAAAGTCAGCGTAGAAAACATACGCTCGCTCCCCCCCGAGGCGAGGATACGTTAAGTGTGAAACTCGCGCTACATTTACCTCATTATGTGCGTGAGGTGAAGGAGCGTAAGGCGCGCTGATGTGTTTGGGAAAACATAATCGGCCCCCTCCAGACGGGGTTTTGGCGTCCCCTCTGGTGCTGCGCCCCTATGCGTTGCATGCGCTGCATACCCACTGTTTGCGCCACTGAGTGGAAGGGAAAATTTGCAATGTCAGAAGTTATTGTTAAATTGATTTAGAAAAATAAGACTTTACTCTTTAACATTCAGAGATAAACTTCTGCTGTATCCCTTTAATATAACTACTCTGATGATGTAAATCTATAAATAGTTTTCCTCTGCTGCCGTGAAGCACCTGCTCCTCTGAACAAACATCTGTGGGATAAAAGGCGCCGTCAGCTCTTCACTGTCGCTGAAGCTCTGAGGTTTGAATCGATGGTAAACCGATAAACTCCTCCATCAGTCAGCTCTGAGTTGGTTTCTTCTAACAGCTTAACTCCATAATGAGGAGAGCTGCCAGCAGCTGGCAGTGATGGAGGCAGCAGGGAGGGAGCCTGGACCTGCTGAGCTCAGCGCCTCCTGCTCTTTATCTCCCACATGCTGGAGGAGGGGAGGGCAGCAAAGACTCAGCAGAACTTCAGGTCACAATGAAGGAAAACGTTCATCTGTTCGTTCTAAAGCTGCTGCGATTCTGGTCCCCTGATCCATCCTGACAAGAACATAATATTTATAGAACACAAGCATCTGGAAACCGTTCTGATGAAGTCCAAGAGGATTTCCTAACAGTAGACTTTTTTCTTTCTCCTCAGAACCCAAAAACTCAGTGATGCCTGCAGTACCAACCAACTGAAAGAACCAAACAACCAAAACAACCAACAACTGAAAGAACCAAACAACCAAAACAACCAACAACTGAAAGAACAAAACAACCAAACAACCAGACAGCCATAACAGAACCAGGAGAAAACCTTCTAATACATCAGACAGCAGAAGGGGGTTTATATGATATTCATCTTTACAAGTATCACCGTTTCAAACTAAATGTATAGCTTGCAAACTAAGCTAAATAGTTTGTAAGCTATTTAGGTACAAGCTAAATATTTGGTTTACAAACTAAATATTTAGCTAGTGGGCTAAGTATTTAGATTCAAACTAAACAGTTAGCAGGTTAAATCTTGTTAGATAAATATTTAATTAGTATCTAAATATTTAGCTGAAAAACTAAATATTGGAAACTGGATCCTGAATCCAAACTCCAAGAACTGGAGAACCGGACCAGACAGACAGGAAAGAGGAGGAACTGGTTCAGACTGAATGGACCAGAACATTCAGTAGAAATGGAAAGTTCCCAGATCTCAACCTTAGAACATTTTTTTTAAAAAGATTTTGACTTTTTTGCTCCACTTAAAGTTGTAAATAATGATTTTAGCAAATAAAAAGAAATAAATGCTGATTGTAAAGTTGAACTCAGGATGTGAGGGTTCTCTGCTCCTAAGCGCCGTCTGTATAGTGGGATTGGATCGGATTGGGTCGGGACATTAAGGCTGTGCAGCCTTTCAATCAACTCGACCCAGTAAGAGTTGTTCCAGTACAAATATCCATCAGGGATCCATTAGGGATCCATCAGGGATCCATTAGGGATCCATCAGGGATCCAGAAACATTCAGCTCAGCATCAGAGAGACAGACAACAAGATCCTGCCTCAGAGAACCATAAAGACGATTCAGAACCGGTTCTGAACTAAAACTGGACCAGAGACTAAACATAACCAACAGAGTAGAAAGTACATTTATTAATGAAGGACAAAAATCCATCCATCCATCCATCCATCCATCCATCCATCCATCCATCCATCCATCCATCCATCCATCCATCCACTGTACATCAAGCATGGCTGAGGCAGAAACATTGGTCGGAGTTAGCATCAATTATAATTAATGTTTTTGAACATTTTTGTGGAAAATTTGCATCATCATAAAATAATCTGTTGATTTTGTGTGAATTCTCCCAATAACAGAATCAAAAACTGGCAGGACTGAAATTTGTGCTTGAATTAGTTGATATTTTTGTTTTATTTCCAAAGGCTTGTAGCTTAATTAATAGTAAATGTTTATGTGAGGCAGGAGAAACTAGTAAAGCTGCAGATATGGGACCAGCATGCACTGGGGCGGCTGGCGGTGGAGCAGGAGCCAATAGGAAACCTGCTCCTGTCATCAGCATATGAATGAACAACAGAGCAGAACATAAACAAAAACATGCCACACTTTTCAGTTTCTCCTTCCACTTTACGGTGAAGGTGCACTGTAAAAAATATTTGTATATTTGACAGTGATAAACAGTAAAAATATGTCAGGAAAAATCCATAAAGCGATGTCAAACTGTCGATTTGATGTGAGGTGAAAACAGTAATTTATACATTTTTACATTCATTTTATGGCTTGTTTTCATGTTAATTTTAGCAAAAACGATTGTGTTTTTTCCATTAAGTTAAAACATTTAGTTTTACAGTGAAACGTTGACTCCAGCATCATTTCAACGTAAAATTAACGACGACTTCTAACCATGAAAGAAACTCAATGTTTTACAGCTCCAGAACACGATGGACCGGCTCGGATCCGTCTGGTTCTGCTGCGTGTTCTCTGTGACACAGAGTCCGAATCTGACCCAGTCTCTGGTTCTGACCCAGTCCATGGTTCTGACCCAGTCTCTGGTTCTGATCCAGTCCATGGTTCTGACCCAGACTCTGGTTCTGATCCAGTCTCTGGTTCTGACCCAGTCGATGGTTCTGACCCAGACTTTGGTTCTGATCCAGTCTCTGGTTCTGATCCAGTCTCTGGTTCTGACCCAGTCTCTGGTTCTGGCCGGGTTCAGCCCGCCAGCGCCACACCGACAGGAAGCCTCAGGTGTTTGTGTCTCAGGTTTCTGCTGGATCACAGAATTCCCTGGAGTCCGATGAAACCGACCTGCGGGTCGATACCGCGCTCTGATCCGACGTAAACAAACACACTGGCATTCCCTGAGGGACGGCAGCGCCCTCTTTAGGCCCCGCCCTCTTTAGGCCCCGCCCGCTTCAGGCCCCGCCCCCTGTCGGTCACAGAGCTTATTCTGAGGTTTCGGGACTGAATGTGAGGATTATCCAGCAGGTGGGAATAATCCTCAGACATTCAGCGTTTCTCTGATGAACACAAACAAACCTGCAACGTTCTGGTTCTGGTCGGCTGAAAGCTGCAGATTCACTGTGAGCAGTAGCAAGCTGACTCATGGCAGCTTTAAATCTCCTCTCCTCTGCAGTCCGGACGGCCGAGCCGGGTCCAATCAGGGCCCGGATACACCCAGAATAAACTCTCTGCTTCCATCAAACTGTCTAAAATTATCTGGAAACAGGATAAAAATAGCCTCCTTCTGGCTGAAAATACATCTGTGACGATAAAAAACGGTGCTGGGCATCTAAAAACTGAGAATATCTGAGTTCTGCTGCTGATCACTTCTGGATGGAAAAGGATAAAAATCTGTTTCAGCCTGAAAGTCTGCAGAACTCAGAGCTGATTTCAGCTTTTCACGGCTCCGATGTCTGCAGACGGTTTAATGGAGTCTTCCTCATCCCAAAGGAGAAGACTCCACTGGGTCTATTTACTGATCATCGAAGAAACCCTGTTAATTATGTCACCGCTGAAACGTTTAAATGCTAACAGACAGAAAACAGAGAGGAGCTTTGCTTTGATTCATTTCTGCTCTCTGCAGATTTCCTGGTTTTTATATCAGTGTTTTGAAATACCAATCAGCCAATCGAATGAGTCGCAGTGAGCAGAACAGACAAGAAATGTTGCACAGCTAAAGAGCTAAAGAGCTAGCTGCGCTAACCATGAAGCACCAGTCATGAACATTAGAACATGTAACGTATGAAGTTAACCTGGTGCTGGGAGGTTGTAGTCTTTCAACTGCAGCTAAACTGAAGATAGCGCTTTAGCATTAGCTTCTGATAAATATTGTGATGTGAAGCATTGTAACATTAGCTTCCGCTAAAGACAACGTTGGTGTAGTGCTGTAGCGTTAGCAGATCTGCAACACCCTTAGATTTTCTACTTGTGTTAATATCTTGTTCTTTCGTGTCTCTTTTATTTTGTTCTTGTTTGAAGTAAAATCATTGGCGAAAAAGAGGAGAAAGAATTAGATCATGAATATAAACTATTACAGTCCATAACTAAAACTTCAACACAGATGTTGAATTTTATTCAACTCAAATTTTACAAAACAGCCGAGTAAATAAGAGTTGAAATCTGGAAAAGTTAATTTAGGGGAAGCCAAGTGCCCTTTTCAAAGTTAGCAAAAACACCAAAGGAAAAATTAGCTTTTCTTTTAGCATATTAGCACAATGTTAGCATATTAGTGAAAGTGTCTACACAGACGAAAGGTCTGATCTTTTACAGTAGAATCTAAATTTGATTTAGTAAGAATGGGTTTTCAGATTAAATATTCCATAAATAACTTTAAGTTTGACTTAATTAGCAACTTTTCCCTTTATTATGATATTAGAGACACGTTAGCTTGACTGCATTGATTTTATCCCAGCATTAAATTGTGCAGGCCCTTTGTCTGTCTGAGAATACTCAAAAATACTTAATGTCTCAGTCAACATGGCCGCCAAACGTCCGCCTCTCTCCGGCCGCAGTCGGTTTCCCCTGGAGCGCCTCAGGGCTGACTGCTCAGGCCCCGTCACATCTGCAGATGAACCAGCTGGATGATCTCAGTTAAAAGTTCAGAACCTGCTTGATTCTGACCCGGAACCAGAAACATGAAGCAACACACGAGCCACGCAGACTCTGGACGTCATGACAACTGTTCCTGACTGCGTCCACGTTTCCAGTTTGGCTCGGCCGCTTCCGGTCCCAGGACGGCGGTCTCCAACCATCTGTCGGCCCGGCGGTCGGTCAGCACGCTCCGTCCGTCATCTGCTGCTACGCTTTCATCTTCTCCTCACACCCCGTCACCAATCTGTCCCCAAAGTTCCCTGGAGGACGGATTTCTGGGAACCAACACTAAAGAACTGTTTGGATTCTGTTGGAAAAACAGCTAAAACGTCCGACAGTTTTAAACATATTTAAATAAAAACTGTTCTCAGGTGGAAAAGGCAAATAGCTTCAAATCTGTTTCAGAGACGAGGGACTGCAGGCAGGAAGCCATCATCGACCCAACCAACAGGCTCCACTTCAACCTGAAGAAAGTTACTTTGAAGGAAAAGCTTTTCAAGGAACAAATCATTTAATCTAGAAAGAATAATGGACATACAGCTGCTGTTTTTGATCGTTATTATTAATCGATATGAATAATAATCATTCTGAGTTTTTTTTCACCACTGCAGTTCAGAACCAACCAGCAACCAGGAGATTTGGTGGGAAAATCGTGCAGGACGTCCGTCTGTTTGCCCTGAACGAAGTTTCTAAGGGTTAAAACGGAAACAAAACGATGGCTGCCCGTTCACTGGCGCAGATTTTAATCTGAGTTCATCTCACAAGATTTTCACCAGATGAGGCCAGAGGCTGGACCAGTCCCTGCTGCCTCATCGGCCACCTGTCTGCACACAGTCCTCCCAGTTCTCCCAGTTCTCCCAGTCTCTGTCTCTGCAGGTTCTGCTGCATCAGTTTCTGGGTTGAAAACAAACAGTCTGCACCCCATCCCATAATAACCACACCTAACAGCCCCAGCAGCTGCAATCAGGATGGAGCAGCAGGATACTGCAGCACCATCCCTCCATCCATCCATCCCTCCATCCATCCATCCTCCCTCCTACCTGCCGCCTTCTCCTTCTCTTTCTCCATCTCCGGCGGTCTTCCTCCGGCCTGCTGCTGCTTCCTTCCCGGTCAGCTGATCCCACCAACAGGCGTCGGTTCTGGGGAACGAGTCCGCTGCGGAGGAGGAAGAGGAGGATGAGGAGGAGGAACAAGGCGCGGTGTTTTTCCTCCTCCTTCTTCTTCTCCTGTCCTTTTTCCGTCTTCCAGTCCTCCCTCCTGCGGACGTCCGGGCTCGTGCGTTCACCTGGTCCAGTCCGCGCGCCGCTCCTTCTCTCTCTCTCTCTTTGCACGCGCCTTATTGCTGCAGCCCGAGACAGGAGTGACGTCACCACCGGAAGAGTTTTTAGGGTGACTAAATCATGATAGCCTTGGGGTTAGAGGTCAGTGATACCCGTCCATTTCAAACCCCGACTCTACTGCGCATGCGCAGACATTTTCATAAAGCCAGTTAAACAGCCAGTTTCTAAAAATCCTTTAAAATTTTCACCAGCTTCTTCTCCTCCAGTCCAGTTCAGGACAGGGTGACAGGGCTGGCCAGAGGCTGCTTGGGGCCCTGAGAAGGCGACAGTCCTGTTAAAGCGACAGTACGCTACTTATAGTTTAATCAAAAATATTTAAAAAGTGTTCTTTTCTCCATGTTTGTTAAATCCGTCACCATGAAGCAGATAATCTGTGAAAGGATCGATCTCCTCCACTGCCGGCTGGAGCTGCTGTGGCTGAAGAAATGCACCAAAAACAACCAATCAGAGCCAAGGGGAGGGGCTTCGTGCTGTCAATCAATCTGACATACTGACTGCTAAATGTGGTAGAGAAACAACTTACCGCTGCAGGAAACTGCAGTCCTGTTTTCCTGTGGCTAGTTAGCCACATCAGTGGCTAACTAGCCTAGCATTCATGACAAGTTAGTGGGGAAGCAACTGTAACATAGCAGTTTATTTATGTTCACAACAAACCTCGTCTTGAGAAACGAAAAGTCATTGCATTAATTGATCCTAGGTATCAATCAGTTAATTATTCAAATTACTTTAAACCAGACCAGACCAGAGGTCAGAGGTCGATTAGCGTTCACATCTCACCAACCGAACCGGACTGTATAGACAGACGGACCGGAGTCGGGTTAAAGCGACTGAACTGGGCTGGTGGGAATGTAGCCTGAATCACTCGGAGGTCAGAGTTCGCAGGCTTAAATACTCAAATAATTCCTCTGTAAATGTTCAGTTGATGTGAAATTAAGTGAAAAAGCAGCTAAAGTCCAAAAAACGTCTCAAGTAGCTACAGAGCTAACGAGGTTCACTGGGAAATGTGGATCACAGGAAGGAAAACAAACTGGAGAAGGTTCTGTTTCTGTACAGCGTCAGGCTTTTCTCTGAGCGTTTTGTACTTTCAGCATGTTAGGATGATGGATGGTTTCCCGCTGGCACGGCGACAAGCTCAGCCATAAACGCAGCAGGACGGAGAGAGGCGGAGAGCAGGTGGAGGACAGGTGCTGAGACGACAGGAAGCTGGAGGGAAAAATGACTGAATCAGGACAAAACAGGAAGCAGAATCAGAGACTGAACCAGGAAGTAAGAAGCTTTAGGATGGAAGCTGGAAAAATGAATAAAAGAATAAAAACATTAAAATCTGAGGGAAAATGGGGAAAATTAATTATTTCTTTGCTTATTAGAAATAATAATCCTGGTCACACACTGCTGTGGGACACCAGCTCCAGTCTTAAACCACAAGTCAGCCGGTGGTTGTGTTAACAACGTTTAGGTACGAATAAACAGACTTTCATGTATTATTAGATTTACTGCCAAGAAGTGTCATAAAAACAGAAACAAAATCAACCAAACATTAAATTCTGAGTTTCTGTGACAGCAGAAAAAGAACAGAAAATAAAAATAAGTCTGAAAACCAACAGCGAAGGAAAAAACTGGAAATGAACCGATGGTGTAAAAAATAAAAAACAACCACTGAAGAACGGAGGAGAGAAGAAATGAAGGGATGAGATAATAAGGAAATGAAAGGGAAGAAAAGCAGAGAAACAAAAAAGACTAAACAAAAAAGGAAATTATGACAAAATAAATAAAAAGAAAGGAACAGAAAGTTAAATTATCACAAAACAGGAGAAAAAAGAGAACATGGAAATGAATCATGCAGGAGAGAAAATGACTGAAAAACAGGAAGAAAAGAAAATGCAAAGAGGAAGTGCAGAAGCAGGCAGAGGATGATTTTCTGACTAAAAACAGAAAATAAAGAAACTAAAAGTCATCCTGAAGCTGAACGACATCCAGGTTCTACTGGAGCTGAAACGGGATCTTCTTCTGTTTTTATTCATCGTGACTGCTTCCAATACAAAAATATAAATAAAAGAAGAAAAATGTAAAAATAAGAGATAAAATGGACAGAAAATCTTCAGGAGCTCTTGCTCTCACTGCTGCCCCCTGGCGGCAGTGAGAGGAAACTACAGCAAACCAAAACATCCGACTGAGAGCAGGAACCAGGTCACGTGTCTGCTTTTAAACCAATCAACAGATGTCATAGGTTTAACATCCACCATGTACTGCATGTATGAAAAGTTTTCAAACCTTGTTGCATATGTTCCTAAACAATCCTAACATTTGTTATCATGAGTTTTCTGGAGAACATTTTTCATCTTCTCTTTGTTGCTCTGTGAAAGACTCGGTAATAAAACATGGAGTTAGTACCAGAAACCCATATGGATCCAGATTTCTAGATTTCAAGTTTCAAAGCTGCTTCTGCAGGTTCGGGAACATTTTTCCATACAATCTATTGAAAATGGAGATCCACAGGGTTCAGCTCTTGTGCCTCTAGTTTTAGTCTTATTTTCTGTATATTATAATAAAGTTTATCTTCATTGAAACAAAACAAAGATTTTTTTAAAAGTTTTTTTATGGATTTTTGTGAAAATGTAAAAAACAAATTATTAAGTTTCCAGCCTGATAAGAGAAACTGATCTGAGTAGATATTTATTGTAATTGAATGTAATTATTCCATGGAAACATGGAACATCTGCTGAAATCTTAATTTGTTATGTCTGGATTTAAAAACATCAGTTGGTTCTTAGTTGGGTTCCAGAATCAAAGGAGGCAGCGGTATAAAAATAAACCTTTCTGGTTATGATTTGTAAAAAAGAGTCAAGTGAACAGAGGAGCAGAGGCGGTGCGTTCAGGTTGGACGTGTTTATGAGGACTCTGGTGTTACAGTGCAGGAAGTTCTCAACCATCTGAGTTCAAAACAAAAATCCATCATCAGCAGGAAGCAGCAAAACACAGAACAGAAAGAGTCACAGCCCAACAGGAGACCAGGTCAGAAAACACCGACGACATTTCCACCGAGCAGGAGTGTGTGTGTGTGTGTGTGTGTGTGTGTGGCACTTTGATGGCTTCAGGGCCTCTGAGTGAGTCTGTGGAGGAGCTGAGCAGCTCAGACCTGGAGTGTCTTCATGCTACGTGTCTTTGTGTACATTCACTAATTGCACTTGAGGATGAGGATATGTGGAGACTACATAACCGGCCCGACGGCCGCAGGAGAAGCTTCTTGTTTTGGTGGTGATGTTCGGGACACAGACAGCTGATGTGGGAGCGGGTCGGCCGGGAAGCAGCCGCTCCAGGAGGAAACATCGTCCTCCTGAGCCGGCGGCGGCCAGCCGGACCCGACCCGTTGCTTTAAACACAAAGAAGCAGCTGGAGACAAGAGTTAGCTTATCAAACAGGAAGTTCCTGAATCATGTGACCATCGGAGAGCATGTGAAGGCAGCGACCTGTGACCCTGTAGCCGATGCAGGACCGTCATCCGGCAGGTCCACCTGACAGGTGAGCCGACTGACACTTCCACTTTCACACTAACCGGAACCGAACCCAGGAAAACTCATCCAGAACCTCCCAAACCCAAATTAAACCGGTTCTGTTCTGTTTAGAACTGGTTACATAAGTTATTGTTTAAACACATTACCTTACAAAGAGCAGAACTGATACCAAACTGGGTCACTGGTTCTGGAAAAACATCTAGAAGATAAGAGCCGAGTCACATGCGCTGATAATATGTAACTCCAAGGTCAAAGGTCACACTGATATATTAGAGGTGAAGTACTTGTGATGTTCATCTGATATCATTAAGGATAAAAATACATCAAAATGTTTCAGCTGGTATGAATGTAAAGACGTTTGCAGACGATTCGCTGATGTGTTCACAAAGTTTAATAGAAATGTTAAGAAAAGCTGTTTGGATCTCCATGTCAGCCATTCTTCCCAGCAGAACCATCAGTTGAAATGGGTCACAGGAAGTCGGGTTTCTTCTGTCCAATCAGCTCAAACTGTTATGTTTCAGCTCAGAAGCTTCCGACACTCAACGTTCAAGAAAACTTTGGTATGACTCAGTTTTAGATTCAGTTCCTGTTTAAAGCTTAACTTGTTAATGAAGTGTCACTGAAATGCAGGAAGTCGCCATGGAAACCAGTCTGATTTTGACTCTCCAGGCATTTTCCCTCTCTAATATTCTTGCATTTTTAAATTGACAACTACAACAGCAAGGTGTGGTCTTCATTTATCTGACCAACCACCAGGTGTCCCTACTGAGGCGTCTGCTAGAACCGACTCACCTAACTGGACGGGTCGGGTTCTCCATTCGGTACTGCTACCACTAACTGAAAGAGTCCAGCTGAAAATACAACGTCAGAAGTCATGAGAGTTACTCCGTTACATTTCTAAAGATTCACAGCAGCGACTGCGCGTAAAGGGAAACAAAAATCCCGGTGTTGTAACGGGAGAAGCGGACATTCCTCCCGGGACGTTAGCGGGAGCTGGCGGTTGTTTGTCGCGTTTAAATGTCCCAGGATTTAGGTTTACACCGAGGGTGGGAGGTCCTGGTCAAAGATATGTCTCTGTAGGAGTCAAATAGGCGTTTTATTTCTGTTTGGTCACCAGATGGCGCTGTAGGCGCTACTATAGGTGGGGTTCAACAGTTAGCAGCTGATCGTTTGTGTAAACGTTGTTGTTGTGTAGCTTCGGAGTTACTTCATCTTATGGGAGTGAATAAACTGGTGATGTTGCACCGAAGAGGAGCTGCCGTTTAAATGCCACCCCAGCTACAACGTTAGCCGCCTAGCATGTCCTAACCAGGCAGCTGCAGGTCAACACTTCGCTACTACAGCACTAGGCTGACTAGCTCACCCTTCTCCAAGTTTAAAGCGTGTAAAAATGGAAGAGGTCAGCGTCTGTCTGAAGGTTCCTGCTGTTTGTTCCTCACAACACAAAGAAACGAACCAGATTTTCAGAGGAATCGCGGTGGAAGTGGCAGCCGCTGCATCGGCACAGTGTCGCCTCTCCGCTCACATGGAAGTTCAATTTAAAACCAGGACGTCCACAATCAGGAGGAAAGGAGGTGATTTTTACATTCTGTGCAAAATTAGACAAAAAGTAGCCCACAAATTAACATTAGTATGTTTTCCGTCCGTCTACACTCTTCAGTCAGTTTTTCTTCTACTTATTTACAGTTAGTTTCTAAGACTTTAGTACCGTCATCCCCCAGCAGGGACAAGACATTCCTCGGAGGGACTGAATCCACCATCACAGGGATCTCTGCCGGGTCCACTCCTGGTTCCAAGACAACACAACAACTTCTGCCCCGTTTCAATATTCACTCAACAACGGAGCTCCAATCAAGAGAACCCAAAATAAATCGGATTTATTCAGGAAATTGATGTTTGTTAATGTCTCTTTTCCAGGATCCCTGATAAGTATCAACATTTTTCCAGGACCAGCCCTCAGACCATGAGGTGGATTTCAGTCCCTTCCTTCAGTTTTAAGAACAAGCTGTCAGTTTAAAAGGCATTGAGAAGGTAAAAAACACAGGGCACACAGTGAAAAACCAGGGCAGAGGGGAAGGGAGTAGAAAAATAAAACTAAAAATAAGAAACTGTGGCAGACTACTAGACAATCACTTCACTTTGTGGCAGGAAACATAAAAAAAGTAAAAAAAGAAAGTTTCAGAGGCAGGGGGCACAGGGTGAAGGAGAGGGGAGGGGAACGTCTCAGTCTCAGAAGAACTTGTCGTCGATGCGGAAGTGCGGCCGCGTGACGTCGTCCGGGTTGATGAACACCGAGATGGACTTCCCGGGATTCTCCGTCACCAGCTGCTGAAGCTTCTTGGCGAGCCGATCGTCAGGCTGGTTCTCACCGCCGGCGTCGGACTGCGGCGACGGCAGGTTGGTGGAGCTGCCTCGCCACTGCACTTCCACCGTCAACCTGTTGGCAGCCTTGGCGTGCTCGATGGTGGTGCGGAGGTGCTCGGCCGGGTCAGAGCGCACCGAAGACAGTTTGCGGGCGTGTAGCATGGCCGTCTCATCGGACAGGTGCTCCAACATGTTGCACTGAGGGATGAAGTAGTTGGGACACATCTTGTTGACGAGACAGTGCTGCAAGTCGTCAATCAGGCCCAGCAGGAAGTGGGCAGAGAAGTCGTCCTGAGCCAGGTAGTTGGCTGGGAGACGGTCGCAGGCCCACAGCATGATGCTGCGCAGATGGTAGGGACTGATGGCTTTGGGCCGGGACAACAGCTTGATGATGATGGCCTTGCAGGCCTGGTACGCCTGCATCAGGCTCGACGAGATGCACTTCTTCAGCTGAACCTCGCTGCGGGCGAATGACAGCCGCCACTCGTTCTCCTTGCGGCCTTTGTAGGAGCAGGCGGGGACGAGGTAGAAGCCGCTGATCACCTCCTCCTCGGTGATCTTCCCGTCCCAGAAGTGGTTCTCCATCAGCCAGCTCTGGGCCACCGCAGGCCAGCCTTTAAACGACACCACCGGGACGATGTCGTAGAGCATCCGGCTGCTGCCGACCCCCAGGATGACGGAGATGATGGTCCCGTTCCGATCCACCTTCTCCACCCTCGGCATCCCTCTCTGTGGCTTCTTCTGCACCTCCAGCAGCACAAGAGATATGGACTGGTAGAACCAGTCGGCCACTAGTGTTGGGGAGAAGAAGTAGTTGGTGGTCCCGTTGATGTGATCGACGATAGTGCAGCAGTCCTTCCACTTGTTGATGGTTCCTTCGTCAAAGAGCCGCAGGCTGAGCCAGGAGTGGCCCAGCGCCGAGTGCCGCATGTCCAGGGTCACTGGCTGGTTCCGGTCATGGAGTTTAAGGGCGGGGACCAGTAGAGTGAAGTCCATGTCGTAGTCTGTGCCGCGGGCGTAGACGCTAAGCTCATCCAGGTCCATGTCCACCACACCTTCCCGAACACCTCCAGAAAGGAGTAGGTACTCATTGGCCACTGGGAGCTTCTGGTCCAGTTTCTGAACCATTCCTAAGACAGGAAGAAAGAACCAATCAGGAAATGAATGAGCTCATCATGCACAGAGCAAAGTCCAACTGCAACAGTGCCCATTTCTCCAATCAATCACCTGAAACCTGGTCTCAGACCAGGTTTCAGGTGAAACAACCCCAGGTGAAGGGTTAAGGGCCATGAATATTTAAGGTTTCAGAGAGTTCAAAATTCTTCCCAAAACGTGTACTTTTTGTGAAAATACTCTGTGCTGGTGCAGGTATAGTAACTTACTACAAAGCTGTGTTCAATCTAAAGTCATGTACGTCACTGGGGAAGTGACCCCAGGGAAACCCTTAACTCTCCAGTAGGAATATCAACCACTGATGGTGGGAAGCTACTGGACAGTAGACACAGTTGCCTTGGGGACAAAGGCAAGTTTGCCCTCCGACCTTCTGACCACCAGCAGTAGGCAATGTGTCCAATTGGACAACGAGACAGACGGATGGGCCACCGTCTCAAACCGGCAACCCACGGGTCGAAGGACGAGCCAAAGCAAGAACAAGAAGGAATTTCCTATTTGATTGAAAATTTCTTTGCAGTAAATCTTTCAAAACAAGAAAACTTTTAACTTCACTTAAGTGGTGCTGCATTTGGTAAGCAAATGTGTTTATGGGTCAACGAGCAGAGTGGACTGCAGCTATAAAACCATTAATGGTGCAGGCGGCCTGTGGAGCAACAAGGGGCCATTTGTCCCAGTTTGTTCTGGAGTCACCAACACAACCACTGGGGCCGACTTGTGATAAATGCTGGTAGAAGGATGGGTTTGCCATCCCACAGCAGTGTGTGACCATATTGGTGACTAGCATGAGGAAGAGGAGATGCCAGACCGTTGTGGTTCTGGACGGATCTCACAGGCACCACAGAACCTGTCAGTACTCCTTTATACTTTAGTTATCCGACCAATAAATATTAGAAATCTGGAGTCGACAGCAGAAGCTGCTTGACGTTAGAAGAGGTAATATGAAATCTTTCATGGGAGAAGCTCAGCTCCAAATTCCACAGATTCATTTTCCTAACAAGTGCAGCAAATATAACGAGAAGTAACCGACTTTCTAAGGACCTTCATCCTGCAGGATCTTTGGCTGGACAGAGGGACGATTTCTTTCTGTTTTTTTACAAATCCTTAAACTTTTGCATCAGTTCTCCTGTCTCATCAGCGCCATCAGGAGGTGAAACCATCAGTCTCACAAATCATCCATAAGTCAGAATGAACTCCGTTTCCTTTTGGGTCAGTTTGGGTCCAGCCCTGCCTTTGGAGGTGTTTCTCTAAGGGTGGTCGGTGGCTCCTCTCTGGGACCCCTGGTGAGTCTGGACGGGTCATTGTGTCCACAGATGGACGGGATTGGTCGGGTCCGGAGCTGAAAGGACTTCAGCCGGCTCCAGGCTGCTGAATGCATTCCAGCGCTGCGGTGAGGCGGACCGACGCCGCCGGCTGCTTCTCAGACACTTTCAGATGGAAGGTCAGAGGTCAGTTCAGGAGGCTGAGTCTAAATCATGTTTATTGTTTGTCCTCCTGCCACTTTGTGGTCATTAAAACGGTTGTCATGCAAACATAGTTTTAGACGTTCATAAGTGTCCTTTTGATTTTTCATCCAGTACTTTGAATGTGGATGGGTAAGACGAGGGAAAGCTGGGAATCTGTCCAGGAGCAGCAGATCCAACTCAGGCTGAACAGGTTAAAGGTCACAACAGGGAAACAGTGAGGCGGCTTGATCAGCAGCAAAGATGTTCACAAGTCAGTCCTGAAAGAACCAAACCGGTCCAATTTGTCTAAAACGGTCCAGTTTGTCTTCAGGACAAAATTGTTACATGAAAATGTAACAATTATTTCTAAGTCTTTACATTTTCATGCACAATGATGTCTTAGTCTTTAAACATTTACAGCCCAAAGCTCTGCTGGCGCAGGGTGGTATCGTCTAGAAACTGGGTTTTCCCAGCAGAAACTTGTTGGACCCGCCTGGGATTCATGGATTTAAAGGGCAGATCTTCATCACATCCGATAAAAACTGGGACCAGGACTCGAGTCTCAGACCACGAGTCCAAGTCGAATCTGGAGTCTAATTTTACTGAAGAGCACCTCGGTCAGTCTAAAGCACGGTGGTGGAGGGATGGTGCTGTGGGCCATGGATCCATCTGAACCGGTTTGTCTCATCGACTCTAGATAAGTCAGTTATGAATAATGCTGCACATTGAATGAAGTAAATATTAATTGAGTGTTTTAAAAGTCAGGCAGCAGCTGAAACGTGTTTTATAAAAACCAAACATATCTTGGGCTCAGCAGGAAACCCAAAGAACCGAACCGGGACACAAAATGAGCTGAATCCAAAGGGGATTCATGACGCTTCGATTTGTTTTGGGGTCACACCGCCATCAGGCCCACATGAAACAGAGGTGTTGGAATGGTCTAGTCAAAACCTGAACCTGACTGAGCTGCTGGGACCTTCAGAGATCCGAGCAGAAAGTCGGTTCTGATCCGTCAGACGTTTAATCAGGAGGATTCTGTTTCCTGCTGAGTGAAACCAAATGATTCAGCAGGAATATTAATCCACCAGGACACAGAACTGGACCGGTTCTGGTCTGGATGAACGATCCAAACAACCGGGAACGTCAAATTAAATGAAAGCTTCTGCTTCCTGTTGGTTCCTATCAGACCGACCCGTTTTACTGCTCCAGGTTCTGCTCTGGGTTACAGCTGTAGGTAGGCAGACTGGAGAACCGAATGGTTCCGGTTCCAGGTTCTCTCCGTCAGAACACAGCGGACCGCACGGCGCCGACTCGACCCGGCTCCCTCTGCTGCAGCAGTAAATCCTCCATCTGCATCTTTTTTTAGCATCTTTCTCTAATCCCCTCTCAGCTCAGCGCTGGGTCAGCGCGGCCCGGACCGGTCCGCCTGCAGCTGGGAGAACCAAAGCCCGGTTCTGCTGGGACCGTTTGGGTCTGATCAGAACCACCAAAGTTAAACATACGACTCAATTTCACTGAGCATGGCGGTGGCAGCGTCATACTGTGGGGCTGGTACTGCAGCAGGAAGAGAAACTTTTCCTTTTTTAGTTTGTAAACTTAAAATTTGATGTTTATGCTGATTATTTACTTAGTTAGCTATCTATTAGCTCCAAACTAAATATTTAACTAATATCTATACTCACTCCCTGATAAGAGGAAGTGGACTATCAAAATAAAAGCTGGGTGTAGACCGTTTCGTCTGGATTGCCTTAAAACGCCTCATTCTTTGTTTTTAGCTGAAAAGAGGAAAAGAAACGAAGAAACAGGAAGAGCTTCAAAATCAGGAGTTTATTAAGAGATTCAGAAGACCCAGCTTTTATTTTGGTAGTCCACTTCCTGTTATTGGTAAGTGAACTTGTATATTAACAAAACACTTAGCTCTGAGGTAAATGTTTAGCTTCAAACTAAATATCTGGCTTGCTAACTAAAGACTAATTTGGAACTAAATATTTATTTGGCAACTAAATGTTTAATTAACCGACTAAATACTTAGTTTGAAGCTAAATATGAAGCTTGATAACTAAATATTTAATTTGGAGCTAAGAATTTATTCAGCTACATATTAACAAGCTTAACATGCAGTTTGGTAACTAAATATTACGTTTGAGCTAAATAGACGATAATATGTAAATGCACTAAATATTTAGTTTGAAGGTAAATATTTAGCTCCCAGCTCAGCACCACTGGGGCAGATTTAGCTTCATATTTCTCTCTGCTGTTTGTCATTAATGATTTATTTTAGTTGCTACATTAACTATTCAGAAATGCCTGAATCTGAAGGCAAAGTCGTCTCTAAATGTTTTTATGGCTCTTATGAATTATCTGTCTGTAAAAGTTTTAACCAAAGAATCTTAATCATTCATGATGGGGTTAATTTTCCTGTTTTTGTTGTGAAGGTTCTGTAAACTCTGCTGGTGAAATACAGGCTAAATAAACATTCTTTAAAAATCAAGTTATTGAGTGAATGAAATCAGAAAAATGAAATGATTAAATGAATGACTAACATGGTGAAAAATTAACCACATGTTTTTCTGACTGCTGGATAGAAAAATAACATGTTTTAGATCAGCAAAACTAAAACGGATGGTTTTAGTTTTGGCCTTCTTTTAGTTAGGTTTTTTAAAACTCAAAAAACTTGTTCGTTTTAATTAATTTATTTAACAGTTTAATAAACAAAACTGATATATAACAGTTTAATTTAACAAACAAATAGCAGTTCAATCAGTTATTTGTTTAAATGACTGTAAAATAAACTGTTAATTTAATAGACATTATTTATTTAATTCTGTAATTATTTGTATTAATTTTTACTGTGTAACTTTATGATCGGCTCCTTATATTGAACCAGGTAAAACCTGAATCTGACCCCAGATCTGCAGGCTGGAGCAGGTTTGCATCGATAAACACCTGAGGACCTGATCCCGGATCAGCGATCCTGGATGCTGCTGCGCTGCAGAGCATCATCCAGCCTCCGGGCCGGGCCGGTTCGGTTGGGCTCACCCAGCATGGAGAAGATGAAGTCCTTGGCCGTGTGGATCTCCAGAGCCCGCTGGTCGTCGTACTCCCGCTGGTCGTGCTTGCTGAACTCCTGGATGAGCCGGTTCAGGTCCTCCATGCGGGCCGCGGACCTGAAGTCCAGCTCGGGCCCGGAGCCGCCCTGGGGCAGCCTCCCCGCGGCCGTGGATGTGGGGCTGTTCCCGAGGCTGCCCGCCGAGCCGGTCCGACCGGAGAGCGCTGGCGCCGCCATGGTTCCTCCCTGCGGGTTCTCTCTACAGCTGCTGCCGCTGCCGTTGGGCTGTTCTGGGCCGAGCCAAACCGAACCGAGCCGAGCCACACCAAATACAAGCTCAGGAAGCAGCTGCGCCGCCTTCACAATAAAAGCCCCACCCACCGAAAAATCACTTCATCAATAAAACAGATTGATGAACATATTATTTACTGTTGAACAGAGACTGGTATAAACTGTACTCAAGTGAGAGTAGCACTATTTCAACTTATTCTTTCTCAAGTAAAAGTAGCAGGAAATAACCCAAGTTAGAGTAAAAAAATATTTGGTAAAAGTTTACTCAAGTACTGAGATCAAATATCGATCATTTAATATTTAAAAATTACATCATCAGACGGAACAAAGCATAAAGTTAAGTGTGTTTAATTCCATCCATTAGAAAATAATCAAAGATTATGGGATGTTTACTAATATTTTTAAAAATATATATATGTACATTTTCATCTACCTGAACATTAAATGTGCCATATCTTCTTATTCAGTAAATAAAGGTTATTATAAACTTTTTGATAAGAAAATTACTAATAAAATAACAAAAACAAATAAATCAGAGACAGTAGCTCTGGGGTTACACAAAATATACATATTTAAAAAATTAAAGTAAAAAAGAATTTAAATTAATTTTAAAAAGTATTAATACGTAGAGAATCAAATAGACATGTATTGAGGTTCACGTTTCAATCAGAACTTATTGAAATAGTTCAGTTTGTTGCAACTAAACAGTTACAGTTTATTTTACTAACTTTAGTGATAGTATTGTTCTTTTGAGCTTTCTATAATAAATTCAAATAATTTNTGTTTAGTTCAATTTAGCTTATTACTATTATAATAATTACTATTATTATAATAGTAATTAATAATAGTAATTATAATAATTACTATTATTATAATAGTAATTATTACAATAATAATAATTACTATTATTATTATTATTATTATTAGTCTTTTTTGTAGATTATTTTTTTCCCTATTTTCTTTTTTACGTTTTTTGAGGGGTGTTAATGTATCTGTTCTCTTTTATTTTGAAATTGGAGATGGATGTGATGCTGTGTCTTTATGACACTTTTTATTGTTTTGTTTTTGTCTGAATGTGCGCTGTCCCCTCCTGTCCGCCAGGTGTCGCTGTGATTCTCACAGGGCGTTCTGGCTGATGGGCTCCGTCCTGCTGACCCGGTAGTAGCGTACCTACCGGTGAACCAGAGGACTCTAACATGGCCTGGAGGAGCTGCTCAGTCCTCTGCAGACTGATCGGAGGAGACCCGTTTCTGTGCTCCGTGAAAGGAGGGAGGTCAGTCAGCACCCTGCAACCGGAGGGAAAGCAGCCGGTCCCGGCCAGCGCCTCAGAGAACTCCGCTGGGTGGAGTTAGCATCTGTTAGCATGAGATAGCATGAAGAACAGTCAGATCCAGCTTATTGGGTTAATAACAAAGTTAGCTGCTGTTGCTAACTGCTGCTTGTTTGACTCAGTTTTTCAGTTAATTTATTTAAATTAAAACATCTCGTTTTAATTTAAATAATCAAAGTGAAGTGAAGGCCTTGTTTCATATTAAAATTATTTTGATAACGAAGATATTTCATTTACTTCCTGAGTAACAGTTAGCACTAGCATTAACAGTTCTTCTAATTCCTCTAGACTTGCTAATTATTACAATGCTTATGAAATATAATTAATCAAATTTTATTTCTCCTTCATGACGTCACCAACCACCATAACAGTTTGAGTATCTTTTCTTGCTAACAGAACTTGCATAAAAATATATTTTCCTATTATTTATCACAGTCTGTTATTCAATAGGGCAGTTCCAGTATAAAGCAGACGAAACAAAATACCAACATTAATACATAAAAATAGGCTAGGGGTGGGGAATATGGACTTAAAGTTTTATTGTGATATTTTGTGGTATTATTGTGATAACGATAGAAGTGACAATAAGAACTATTTATTACTTATAGGTAACTGAACAGTCAACACAAACACTTCTGCTGACAAACAAACCAATGTGTAACACGCTCCTTTACGCCACCAGCCTCATGAAAAAGTTTGATTTGTGTAAATAAACTGCACACAGTAACCGCATTTAATCACATTTTCGCATTTTTGGATATTTATTGATACTCCATTATTGAACAAACAGTGGATAAAAAAGTAAAATAAACAATCCTGACAGTTTTATAGATTTTTAGAAGTCACTGATTGGAATTTATCATAACGATAAATTAGAATTATTCTAAGAAATTTACTACTATGAATGGCAACTGATATGCTAAAAGTCTGCCCCTAAAGTACACATTTAAAATTAAATATAAAACAAATTGAAAACCAGTTTAACAGTATTTGGTTTTATTTTTCATCTCGGTGCTTTTAGCTACTGGGACCGATGCGGCGCAGAAACGGTCACTCGGTGTTTAACATAGGTCAGCATGCTGGCGATGCCACACAGCATTTATGCTAACCTTAGCATTGTTGCTAATTGTCAGCACCATTCGCCATGATTGGGTCAGATCAGAACACTGGTTCCTTTAAATTCAGAAATGTTCTAGTTGTTTTATATCCTGGAGAACGTTTACATTTTAAAATGTAAACTACATTATAAAATTTTAAAAGTATTATTAGAAATAATTAAGAGAAAAAATTAAATATGTGGCGGAAAAATACAAAACTAAACTTTTTAAAAATTAAATTAAAACTAAATGCTAAAGTAAACTAAGTGTAAAAACTAAACAATTAAACCCAAATAAATTTGTGTCCTTCCTGCAGCAGCCTGGTCCATCCCGTCAGTCTGCAGTGTGATTGGCTTCCTGCTGTTTCCTGTGTGTCCACTAGGTGGCCCGGCGGCTTCCAGCAGCGCTGCAGCTTCAAGAAAGCGTCCAGAACGCCGGAACCAAAGCAGCCGGAGGGTCCAGGGCTGCAGAACCAGGCCCCATGCCCGCCGCGGCCCCCGGCTGCCCCGCGGGCCTTCAGCCGCCTCGTCAGGCCCTTCCTCTTCACCGTGGGGGTAGGTGGAGCCTGATGACTTCATCAGTGATGTCACAGGTCGCTCTAACTCCAGGTCAGTTCTCAGGCTGCTCCTTCGGCGCGGCGGCCATCTGGCAGTACGAGTCGCTGAAGTCCCGAGTCCAGAGCTACTTCGACGAGCTGCAAGCTGATTGGCTGCAGAAGCTGCGGCCTCAGAAACGAGGAGACGTCCGCAAGGAGGTGAGCGGGTCGGTCCGATCGGGTCGGTCTGGATCGACCTGGGAACCTGCTGATTGGCTGCTACTGTTTCAGATCAACCAATGGTGGAACAGCCTGACGGAAGGCCAGAAGACGGTGGCAGGTGAGTCCAGGTGGAGCTGCAGCAGGGGGAGCTGCAGCAGGGGGAGCTGCAGCAGGGGGAGCTGCAGCAGGTGGAGCTGCAGCAGGTGGAGCTGCAGCAGGTGGAGCTGCAGGTCGGCCGACAGGTTCTGACAGGAACAATCCAGAAACAGGCATTTGAGGGGCAACGTTTACAGAAAATAAAACTCGTCAGAAACCTGGATTAACCAGATTATCCTGGACTAAATGTAAGATTAACTGGAGAAAAAATCCGTCTGAATCTGGAATAAACTGGAGATAAACCTGGGATTAAAACTTGGATTAAATCTGGGATAAGACAGAGATAAAAGACCAGAATAAAAAGATTTTACTCTAGTTTTAGGCTGTGGTGTCTGGAGCTCAGAGATCGGACCAGAACCATTTCCTCCTGGCCGGTTCTGGAGCAGAACTTGGGTCGGGTCTAATCCGACTCAGAGACGCTTCATTTAATCCAGACTTCCTCCTCCTCTTCCTCAGGGATCATCGTTGCCAACGTCTTGGTGTTCTGCGCCTGGCCGCTGGTGCCGCTGCCCATCATGCTCCGCTACTTCACCTCCAACCCCGCCTCCTGTGAGTCCGTCCTCTGGGCCAACTGCTGATCAGATTATCGATTATTGAAACAGTTGTTAGCTTGTTCAGTCATTGATGAATTATTAACTAGAGCATAAAGAGTTCAATCGGCTGAAACACAGTCAGAGCAGCAGCAGTCAGTGACGCAGCGTGTCCCCTCAGCGGCCCTGTGTGTCCCCATGCTGCTGTCCACCTTCAGCCACATGTCCCTGTTCCACCTGGCGGCCAACATGTACGTCCTGTGGAGTTTCTCCAGCAGCGCCGTCTCCATGTTGGGCAGGGAACAGTTCCTGGCCGTCTACCTGTCCGCCGCCGTCACCTCCTCCTTCTCCAGCTACCTGTGGAAGACGGCCACAGGTCGCTACGGCCCGTCTGTCGGAGCGGTCAGTCCTCTGTCCAACATGTCCTCCTGTCCAACATGTCCTCTTGTCCAACATGTCCTCCTGTCCTGCAGTCCGGCGCCATTATGGCCGTCCTCGCCCTCGTTTGCACCAAGATGCCTGAAGCCAAGCTGGCCATCATCTTCCTGCCCATGTTCACCTTCACCGCCGCCAACGTACGAAGCCCCGCCCACTTCCTGTTTTGGTGCTGACCCGGATCCGACCCCCCGCCTCACCTTCTGCCCCTCCCTTTATCTGCAGGCCCTGAAGGCCATCGTTGCCATGGATACGGCCGGCCTACTACTGGGATGGAGGTTCTTCGACCACGCCGCGCATGTGGGAGGAGCTCTGTTCGGGATGTGAGTTCCTCCAGAAAGAAAGTCCACCCCACTGCAGTAGAAATAAAGTGTGTGTGTGTGTGTGTGTGTGTGTTTTTGGGCTGTAGTTCCCAGTCTGACCTGAAGGGGGCAGCGCTGCGTTGCTGTGGGCTTCTGGCCTGACCTGCCTGTCTCTCCTCAGATGGTACATCCTGTTTGGACACGAGCTGATCTGGAAGAACCGCGAGCCGTTTGTCAAGCTGTGGCACGACCTGCGGACCCGGAGCGGCGGCGGGCCGGGCGGGCCGGGCGGCGCCGTCTAGGGACCACAACCGGGACTGGACTGTAGAATCATGTAAAGTTGTATAAATGTACAGCCAGCGCTCCACATTGGGAACCTGTGCGTCCGTCTTCTGGGTTCAGATGGATCAGAACCACTGCTGGTCGGGTTCTGATCTGGTATTTCTTCAACCGGATCATGTCCGACTCGGCTAAACGGCTAAACATAAACTCCAGGTTTTGATGTTTTTTAGTAAAAAGTCAGATTTCTAATTTTCTTTGTTTGTCGAGCTGAAGAAGAGTCAGCCAATGAGAGGAGGCGGAGGAGCAGCGATCTGATTGGCCGGAGCTCCATGGCTCTTTATTTATCTCTGTCAAATAAATCTATAACATTTCCAGAACATGTTCCGACGATGTCACTGCGCCCTCTGCTGGGCTCGTTATGAACAAAAGAAACCTTTATTTTTGTAATAACTACATTGTTTATGAGATTAGCTAAAGCTGTTATCAGACTGATGGGACACACTAATTTATAACATATTTACTCACATCTGATTATCCAACACACACACACACACACATTGTTTATTTTGATCACAAAACGCGATTAGATCATAATTATGCTTATTTTTGTTTTCTTTCAACCATATACTATTTTTATGATCATAATGAAATACAAAAAGAAATAAAAATTAGTTGATGGCACAGATAATTTTTTTATTACAGAGTGACGTTTATATCCGTGCTCTTATTTTGAAGTTTGGCCCTACTAACAAAACTCAGCAACTATCAAACCGAATGAGTGAAAGTCGGTTCCAAAGAATCACTTCCTAAAGCGCTAGTTACAGGAGGATGTGTAACGACAGATTTAGGCCAGTTGGGGGCGATATTCTGTGATGTAGCATATCAAGGTTTATGAATTTAGTGTTAGCTTCTGCTAATTGCCATCTTGGTGTACTGCTTTAGCACTAGCGTCAGCTAGTGTTGGTATTGTGCTTTAGCTAAACTAATGTTCATGATTACTGCTGTAGGGTTAATGTGGCTAACTGCACAGCTAACGTTTTAGTGATTTCCATTACTAGTAACAAGGAGTCTTCTCCAACATTCATGGTAAAAAAATCTTGAAACTTAAACTTTGATATTTTAACTCGAAACGATCAAAATGCTGGTTTGCTCCGACTTTCTCTGTTCTGGTATAAAATCTGATCGAGGTTCAGCCTGATCTGGGCTCTGGTGTCTCTTCAGTGACTGAACTGTAAATGTTTCTGGTTGGGCTGCAGAAAGATCAACCAGCACTGTTTTGTTGTTTCAATACTGAACTCAGCGGGCGGTTTGGCGCGACGAAGCAGGCGTGCAAACATGGAGCCAGTTTGATAAACAGGAGTCTGAAGTCCACCAACCGTCAGAAACCAGAGGAACATTTCTTCTCTCCGATCTGCTGCTACAAAGGTTCATGTCAGAAATACAAAAACTGTCAGAACAACGAATTCATTCTGTCTGGTTTTAAATTGGTTCTCAGGGAATTAAAAAATGAGCGAATAAAGGTTTCACAATGGTGCTGAAGTTGGAAGAGAAGCCAAACGGTCTTGACTCTGTTAGAACCAGCAGAACCTCTACAGAGCCGAAACGAGGTCAGCGTGGGAGCTGCTGGTGGTGAAACTGGGATCCCTGAGAGTCGATACTGGTGTGTGTGTGTTCAGCCTCTCCCAGAGTTCATCGACCTCCAGCAGACCTCGATCAGGCCGGGTTCCCACAGAGACGCTTCAGATCCGGCCGCAGAGCCACAAAGCAACAGAAAACCTTCATCAGCCCTGAAATCTGAGCAGAAGGTAAGAAACAACCCGGCACCGGTTTGGTCGGCTCAACTGAACCTTTTTAGGGTTGCAGTAAAGACGGACATGTTGCATTCATGACCCATTTTCAGATCGAGTGAAGACCAAAAGCTCAGGTAGTTTCCTCTCCCACTATCAGATTTAAAAAGTCATCTTTACCTGCTGTTCCCGTCTTTTTAGAATTTTTTCAAGCATCTGTTAGTAGTTGTGTTTTTATGTGCTGTCAGATTATTTATTGTACTTACTGTATTTACTGTTGGGCATAATGTTGGGGACGTCAGACATACGTTGACCTAGAAAGACCAGGATCATCAGGTCTGATCTTGTTCCTAGCACCACGGAGAGAGTTAATCTCCAGAAACTGAGAGTAAATAGTTAAATGTCCTAAAGTCCTTTATCAAGTCAGAGGACTCCAAACATTCACGCTACGACGTAGCGGCTCTGACCAAACCGGGTAAAGAGCCTTTCCCAAGGACACAACGGCAAAGACAGGCAGAGCGGGGTTTCAACCAACAGCCCACCAGTTACAGGACAAGGCAAAGCATTGTTGATCTGATGGAGCTTTCCAGATGAACTCACTCAAAGTTTTACTGACTTTGACTGGGCCGTGACTGGGTTGCCGGTTCAAACCGCTGTTCAGTCGTTGTATCCTTGGGCAAAACATTCCACCTACTGGAACCATTGGCGCGGGTGTATGGCAGCCTCCACCATCAGGGTGTGAATGGATGAATGTCAGCTAAAAGTGTTTGGAGTCTTTTGGACCTGATAAAGCAGGTACAAACCTCAAAGGCGATAGCACCTTAATTTTAACAGCTTTTAAGTTAAAGGCATAGAGGACCAAGAACGCCACCCTGAGGAACCCCAGAAACCAACATCTGCAGAGGAAGACCACAGCTGCTGAGTCCCTGCAGTCCCTTCATTGTCCGGGTGTGTCTCTGCGTGGACATCGGTCAGCATGGGGGTGTGTCTCCAGGTTCTGGGCCTGGTTCTGGGCATTGTGTCCTGGTGTCTACAGTCCAGCTCTACAACCTCTCACACTTGGAAGGTGCGTAGCCAGGCAGAGACGGTCACCACCAGCTCCTGGCAGTTTGAAGGCCTGTGGATGAGCTGCGCTGCCACGGCGCTCGGGTCCGTCCAGTGCAGCAAGTTCAAGACGGTCCTGGGCCTCGACTGTGAGTGAAACCTTAGCTTTCCGTGATCTAACCTCCTCCAAAATGTTGTAGAATCGAGTCCACTGGACCATCAGAAGGAGAATCATCCTAAAACACACTGATGTTCTGAAACTCCTGGAGTTCCTCTATGATGGCAGATGGGGTGTCAGAGCGCTCACTCTGAGATTCTCCTGTCTGTGTCTACAGCTCACCTGCAGGCCTGCAGAGCTCTGATGATCTTGTCCCTGATCCTCGGTCTCGCCTCCATCATCGTCTCCATTCTCGGACTCAAATGCACGAAGATCGGCCGGATAGCAGAGCAGGTCAAGGAGCAGGTCGCCCTGAGTGGAGGCGTCTTGTTCATCCTCTCTGGTACGAAAACCATGCAGGAAGTCTGGAGAACCAGAGGTCCAGATCAGTTTGTCAGACCAGAGTTCTGGACTGGTACTGCTGGCTTTACATTGCTATTTCATCCTTCAGGCGTCTTCACCCTGACGGCGGTCTCCTGGTACGCCGCCAGAATCATCAACGAGTTCTATGACCCGTTCCATGCTGGACTGAAGTCAGTGACCTGCAGACGCCTCTGTACCTTCCTGAGAGTGTGTGTGTGTGTGTGTGTGTGCGTGTGTGTGTCTGTAACTCTAAGTGTGTGCTGCAGGTTTGAGATGGGTACTGGTCTGTACCTGGGCTGGGCGTCCTCTGGTCTGGCCATACTGGGAGGATCTCTGCTGTGCTGCAGCTGCAGGCGGAGCGCCTACACACCCACTCCGAGGTAAACACCAGCAGACTGCAGCACTGCTTGTGTCCAGTTGGGGGCACTGTGACAAGCTTAGTAGGCTGTTTCTGACCTCTGACCTCTGCAGGCAGTTCTCCTACCACTCCAACTCCAGTGGTGGTCAGAGCATCTACAAAGCGGCTCCGGACTCAGAGAGCACCAGCACTAAAGCGTACGTCTGACTTGGCGGTCACCCGCGACCTGATGAACAGCCGCCTGAACCCAGTTTTAACCCTGTCTGAACCCAATCTGAACTCTGCCTGAACCCAGTTTTAACCCTGTCTGAACCCAATCCGAACTTCATCTAAATCCCGTCTGAACCCTGCAGTCCCAGGGTCCCGCAGGCTGCTCACTGTCCAACAGCTTTAGAACTCCATAAAGTTCTGCAGAAGCCCGTTTATGACCCGATCATTCAGAACATGAACATGATGTTGAACCGTTTGTCCACCAGGTGTCGCCAAAGAGGAGCAATAACACAGTTAGTTTGGCAGATTAAAACATTAAAGCAGCTCGTTTATTTATTCTGAAAACCAAATTTAGCAATTGGTGTTTTATAATTTCTGTCTAAGTTTTCTCCTGTTTCTCTTTCATCTTGAAGGTGTGTAGTTCACTCTTTTCGCCACCAGATGGCAGCAGATAATTACGTCTGAATCTTAACGGGAACTCCGGTCTGATTATGGATTTATGTCTGTCTCTGTTGGCCCTGAATGTTTTTATTGGTTTGTTTTATATGAATGAAAAATAAAATCAAATGAAAAACAAAAATGCGTCTGGATCATCCGTCTCTGTTGGCTCTGCGTCCATGAACTTCCTCTGACGTTAAAAATGTCCTCTGTCTTCTGGATGGTTTATCAGTTCAAACCAAAATGTCTTCCTGCCCTTATAAAACTAAAACTTCATCTGTCCGTCGAAGTGACTAAAACGTTTTGTTTGTGTGTGTTGTAAGTGGCAGACTGAAGAAATCTGGTCCAGTCAAAGTAAACACACAGTTCCTGGTCGTGGCAGATTTCTGTAAGTTTCTGTTTGGTGTAAAATTTAGCAACAAGAAATCAAATTTACATTTTCTTTACTTTTTACTTCATCCATCAGACGGCAGAAACGCTCTCAGACATCCTGTGACTCCGGTGCGTTCATGTCCGCTAATGTGCTAACGGTGGAGCTAATTTTTTGTTTAGCACTTTTGCTAACTTTGAAAACATTTAACGCACTTAGGTTCAACAAAATAATTTTTTACAGATACTAAAGCAAGAGCTAATTTTCTTGTTTTGCAAACTTTCATATGATTAAAGTTTGATATCTGTGTTAAGCTTTGGTTATCCACTGTACGTTTATAATCATGCTCTTATTCTGAAGGGTGCTTACGCAGCAGTTCCGTTTCTTCACGTTTTACCACTGAATGTCTGAGGACATTGGAGAACATGTAGATTATGATGTGGTAATTAAGCTGGTGCTTGAGGGTTGTGATCTTTCAAAGGCAGGAATAATTTGTAGTTAGCGTGTTAGCATTAGCTCCTGCGCCGATTATGTTTTCCCATACAGTTCAGCGCCTCACGCTCCTTCACCTCTCGCACATAACGAGGTACATGTAGCGAGTTTTACACTCCACGCAGCGTCGCCTCGGGGGGGGGGGGGGGGGGGGGGGAGGTTCGAGGGGTGGAGCTACACATACTCGCAGAACGAGGGAGAA